GCTGGTATAGTTTGGATAGAATTAATTTACACCAATATCAGGTGATTTTCTTTGACAATAGTTTATTCATATCAAATATGTATAGTGCATTACCAGGTGCTCATGTTTAAGAGTATTTTTTAGCAATATTATATCCTGGAGGTGGGAGAACAGCTTTACTGGTCTAGAAAACAAACATGAACATGTGATCAGAACCATTTATCACTTTGACTTCATCTGGTGGATTTGACTATGCTACGAATTATATTTCTTCGCCTATCCTCGTTGAGGAAAAAAATTGGAAATTCTATACATAGAATCTAAATTACCTTAACTACAAAGCTTGTTCTTCTATTCCTTCACTGCTCAATGTAACAACGTTCACCCACAAAGTGCATTCACTTCTTAAAAATCTCCATATATGGCCTCAGAGTCATGAGGATCTCAAAGCCCTCTTTCCAGCATTGTCTGACTGTGGCCCAGTTGCCTGACTCAAAGAAACTCAAAGAGTAGAGTTTTCGTCGAGATTTGGCCTCATTGGTTTGCAAGATCTCATTTTATCACTTCAACTCAAAGGAATAAATGATGCTCTGCAAAAATCTGTGCTGATAAGTTCATTCTTTTAGAAGTTTATTTCTCTTCCTCAAAATAGAGTTCCTGAAATCTTGTTAAGCTGCAAGCAAAGAGCAACCAGTTTAGTTTGGATAAGTCGTGATCACGAGGAACGAATGAAACTAAAAGTGAAAGAAAGAAGTTGACTGTAGTAAATTCAAAATGAAATCAAACCCTATAGTAAGAGCAATCACTAGTTTACCGAGAAGCATAATGAAAATCGTTTCAAAGAGCCGTACTGCTTCAAAAGCAAATCACGATTGTATGCAGTGGTGTAGACCTTCAATAGAAATTTTAAGTGAAAGTAAGCACTCTTTGGCTTCTTTGAAATACTGTCCTCCATTTTGGGTATGCTTGCAGCCATTTTCATTTTCTTCATCAGGTTCATCATCAAGAAATGTAAGATGATTTTTTGTTGGTGCAAGAGAATCCTCTCCCCAGGAACTCAAGCCACCCAATGAAACTTTTCTTTTCTTGCAAAATGATTGATTTGTAGCTTGCCCACCCACTAGAAATTCCACAAATAAGCTCCATGAATCACACACTTTATGCAGGCACCTAAAAGAGAATGCATAAAGGATGGTAAGAAGCAAATGAAAGATACAAGGAGTTGCAATTAAAAACAACTGTCTGGGGTCAACCAAATTGATTCTTGTTTTGCTAATTAATTAAGAAGTCATGTAAAAGCAGAGGGTTAATGTTTTATAGTTTAGTCACCGAGGTCAACACCAGAAAAATGCAGCCCACCACGGCTTAGATTTCATAAGTTAAGAGAAGGTGTAGAAAGAGAAAAGACCTTAAAAGATATTCTGCACAAATAAAACCTTTTGTAAGCAACGTATGCAGAGGAGAGAAAAAACTCAGAGAGAATGAGAATGATTTAGTATATTTTTCATGTATTGCATCAGAGCCAAAAAACACTATATGCATGACACAAGCTGCCAAAAAAACAGATCCTAAAAACTAGGACACAAGGACTCATCTCCAACCATTCAAGGTAATTGCAGGCTATAATTCTTACACCTAGGCTAGAAATCGTTACAGCAGAAAGGACTAAGACAGCTAAGAATGACAGCTGTAGAGTTTCTCAAAATAGAAAGAAAACTAGCCGTTGGACATATCCTATAACAGCTATTACTATAAAAGGAAAGTTCTTCAGCTCCTTCGATTTCTTCATCCTCTTCACTGTCAATCTGCAGGATTAACATCTGCAGCTTGATTCAAGGCTAGTATGCAGCTTAACTCTCAACATGCACAACTGTTTCCGGTATCTTTTGAAATAAGGTAATCAAGAAGCACCTGATGGTCATAGCTCAACTGCAAAATAGGAAGAAAAAAGAAAGTGCACAATGTCAGTGATTATTTTTTATTCTGCAATACCATATACTTCAAATTAACAACTAGGAGGCATGCCGAAGTGGAAATATTAATGCAGATATGTAAATGTCCAAGAGTGAGCATCTTGCCTCTAGTAGGAAAAGATGGAACAAGAGTACAGGATTGAAAAGATCTGAGACACGGAAAAGTAAATTGCCATTCGAATCCTCCAATGCAACCTTTTCCTTTTCATCCCTATATAAACCCAAAAATCTTGTTAAAAGGAATCCATGATGATAACTTTTAAAACAATGGAAAACTAGGATATTAATTCCTTACTGTTCTGCACAACAAGGTACACAAAGCAGATGCAAGAGCACTTTGAATAATACATCATCCTACAGTTCAAAAACAAGCCAAGAAATGAGGACATGAGTCTAAAAAACTGCAAGAAAAATACAACAAATGAAGAATACAGAACTGCAATTTTAGTACGTGAAATTGTTGAATAAGATGATGCATTCAGATAGACAAAACAAAATATGGATACAATTTTTCTTTTTTTGGGTCTGGGTGAATAGATTGCCTATTTTGCTTATATCACGTTGCATATAAACATAGACAAAAAAACTCCTAGTTTCAAAGATAAAGAAGACATACCTCTTTGATATACAGTTGGATGAAGGATTTGGCAAAGTCAACACATTCTACAAAATACATTTCATGGTCCACTGTCATATTAGCTGGAAGATGCCCTTGAAGCCAGTTATAAAGCTCCAAGAGACCTTTCTTTCTTAGACAGTAACATTAGGCTTCTAGTACTAGAAAGAAATCAATAAAGCAGAAAGGCATTGGTGAGCAATGCCAATGCGCCTCCCTCCACTAACCGACCTCTCCCTGCATGCGTGTTGACGACTAATTTATCCTTTCCTTTTCTTTACCCCAACCAAGTCCACCAGGACCCAGACCCGCCTAGATCAGCCCAGGCCGCCTAGAACCGCCCAGGGCGCCCTAACTCCCTGGTGTCGGTGTCCTCCCGCCTAGCGCCTAGGCCGATATTTCGAACACTGCTCAAAACCTGGAACGGGCTTGCTCTGTGCCCTAGACGTTCGTACTGATGAGTTCGAGTCCGATTCACCAGAATATTTAAAAAAACCACGTATAGCCGCTCGGCTATAATATTTAAAAGAAAAATAAAGAAAAACTCCGAGTAAAGCCGGCCGGCTATACTATATAGCCGATCGGCTGTACTCTTTTTAAAATAAAACTAGGAAAAAACCTGGTATAGCCGCGTGGAAGTACTATACTATAGCCAACTTCAGGTTGTTCGCTTGGTTGTATTGCATGCTGGACACCTTTACAGTCACTTGATTCCTCTTGTTCTTCTTCTTATTGATGGTAATTTTATCACCTATCTCACATCATCAGAGAACACTGTTATTTTCTTACTTTTATGGAGAAAAGATGGGAAGGGGGAATGTAAGAATATGACATCAATTGTTGTTGTGGATCCTTATCAACAAGCCTGCTTGTTGATGGCAGATATTGGTATTGCCTCCTTATCAACACAAGGGTTGTGGACGATACCTTCTTGAGGTTCTCAATGATGTTGCAATATCTGAAAACGTCTATGACCTCACAGTTGATGAACCATTGGATTACTTTGAACATGTACGCACTTGTGTTGATGTACTGCGCCTTCATAAGTTCGATCCAATCAAGCATGCAGTCAGCTCAGCAGTTTCGCAACTAAAGCAAGGAAAATTGTCGAAGAAGACACACCCTCCTCGACTCATGCCAGACACTAGAGTCATTGAGGATGTCCGGAAAAGTTTGAAAATCAACAAGAAACAGTTTCTTCAGTGTTGGGAGGTTTTCCTTTATCTCGGCCTTGATCATGTGGACAGGTATATGGATGATTTTGTGGGAATTATTTCTAATCGCATGAAGGATGACCTTATCGGAAAAGATTATGGGACTGGTGGGAAGCAAGTGATTGAAGTTCCAAGCAATTATGAACCCGAGATGTCATTTGTGATGTTCAGGTCACAAGCTGGTGAAGCTGCTAGTACTGTTCAGATAGATGAGAATCAACCAAATCAGGAGGAGCAACTCCAGCAGTTAGTTGATGAGAGAGTGAAAAAGATCAAATCAATAGCCGAGAAAGTGTCTGTGGAACTCTCTATCATTGCTGAGGCATCATAAAGGACTTCGATTTTGGCGATGCCCTTGTACTTTACCAATTGATGCAATCTGTAGGGTGAAAGTGGTTTGTGGGTTGGAATATCGGAGGCTTATCTGTAAATCTTTGAGCTCTATGCTTGCATCCTAGCTTTTGTTATTCGAATATTTGCAGAACTTTATTACTTCTCATGAAATTGAGCAGCTAACGCTACCTTTAACATGTCAATGTCGTTTTCATTCTCTGTAACTTGTATTTTTATTTCAATTTTGCACCGAGTTATAGGATCCGTGTTTACAAATAGAAAACAAGTCACCTGCTTTTTTCACATCCACTTTGTCAATTTAGGTAATACCTGTTTGGTACAAAGTAAAGTATCGTATATTGGAACAAAAACTTGCACAAGATAATGTACTCATTAATGGAACAAAAACCTCTCCCGACGACATTTCGTCGGCATAGGAAACTTTCCTCGGGAGAGGTCTAATCCGGCAAATAGTTGCCGGCATAGACATGTGCGGACGAAATGTCATCGCGACAAGTCTTCTTGCTCTTTATTTATTTATTTTTTAAATATAAAATTAGTTTCTTTACTTTTATTTTTTGCCCAACTTCTTTAATTTAATATATATGTCTTTAAGTAATATCTTAGCCTTTTATAATTACTTCAATTAGTAATTATATTATTATTCGAATATAGACGCACCGCTATACCGTTTAAATATTCGAATGTATTTAGGAAATATGACAAAGGGCACCTAAAAAGATAAGCAACATCATTATGTCACTTCTCATACACATGCAACACACAAACAAGGCATAAATTTTCTCTCAACCCTAAGCGCCCACTAAGTAACAAAGCTAGAACGTAAATACATACTAGGTCTAATTGATTCATTATCTCAAGGCTCAGCTTTGCTACAGAGAAATCCAGATTTTTATAGTTATATTTAAAGCATACAGCCGCTCAACTATAATCTATAAACATAATATTTAAAAGTACCGTCGCGCGGCTATAAGCCATAAACATAATATTTTAAAAGAGAGTATAGCCGCCTGGCTATACTCCATAAATAGATCATTTTAGAAGAGAATATCGCCGCTCGGCTATTCCGTTTTTTAAGACGTTCATAAAACAGTTCAAGACCATTCCTTGATATGTAGCTGAAGCGATGAATGTCCAGATCGATCGCAAAGTAGTTAGGACCCTGCATGTGAGAGGGCTTGATAAAGTCAAACAACATGGTTTTTCTATTTCATCTTCTTAACACTCAGCAACATAAATGTTCAACGTTTACCTTGTAAAAATTGTGCTAGGGGTGTGAAAGAACTGGTTTGTCATTATATGCATGCACAAGCTTCTTCTCAGCAGAACTCCGACCGATATCATCATGATTTCCCACCCCAGCCAAGATCTTTAGTCTTTCTCTAAAAGGTACAATGGAGTCCGTTGCAAATCCTTTAACTTTTTCTGTCTCATCGTCAACCATTTTCTAAAAGCATCATTCAAATATATCAACAGCCTGAGTGTTCCAATAGAACATAAGATCACATTTCCAGCAGGGAGAGTACATCATAATAAAGTACATGCCTATCCAAATGGATGAACTAGCGTACAAAATGAAGTTACCTTGATGTTGTCCTGGAATTGAGGAGAGATGTCTTTATCAAAATTCTCAGAAGCTTTGAAATACATTACAAGACTCATCCCCTCTCCATCATTATCACCAAGAAACATTGCAGCAGGATAAGTAGGCAACTGCAACAAGGCGCAAAGCAATATCATTAGATATTGACAAAATATAACAAAAAAAACATAACAAGATAAATCAATTCTGAAAAAATACCTATATGTTTACAATGAAAACTTTCCCATTTGCTTTCACTTTGGGAAGCTCAGGATTCTGGGCAATGTGATGTATCTTTTTGGGGCATACTGACACATCAACACCTATTGGAGTATATGGACTGTAGTTCGGAGCAGTTGACTTTCGTTATCTCTGGATGGTAGACCAACAGAAAATAATATTATCATTAGCAAGGCAGAACAGAGTAATTAGTTGCAAATGTCTAAATTCAGTTAAGGTTGGTCTTGACAAAAGAAAAAACCAAAGTCATACTTCAAATAGTTCTCGCCATAGAATTTAAAAGTTGAGGGTGGAATCTCAGACCAAGATCCTAAAGTCGGCTTCTCTACTCTACAACATGGAATGAGATTATCCTGGTCTAGGTCGATACATAAACCTTTTTGATTGACCTGTGGATATATCATTGAAATGTTCAGTAATATACATGTACATCAATCCAAATATTCTAAGTTTTCTTTCCATTCAAGGAAAATTGAATTATTTGAATGCTTACATTGTTCAATGGTTTCTTCTGCATCACAGGATCTCCTCTTAAAAAGAACGTCTGAAAACGGTTGATGGCTTTCTCTGGGACTGCGGAACCAAACTCTGTGCACTTAGAATCTTATTGTCGAAACTTACAGAAGGTACCAATCGAGATAAGCCGGATTTCAGGGCATTGTCTTGAATTTTTTCATTAGAATCAAGTCCATCCTCTGTAAGTCCTTTAAAGCTTCCATAAGAGTCATCTAATATATTCTTCCTCTTACTGCAAACTTCATCAGCCTTCCCTAAGTGAAAAAGCTCATAGCCTAGGGAATTAATAAGCGAAAACCAATTTGATTCCCTGCGCTCATCTTTGCCTATGATTTTATTTGATTTACCTCCATCAATTTTCATATAGCTTTGGTATTCTTCATACTTACGCCTATTATCAACAAAGTGAGCAGATCTCGTACTAAAGTACTTGGCCACTTGAGATATTCCCAACTGGATTGCTTGTTAATGGAAAACCATCTGTAGAATAAGAGAAGAAAATTAAGAAAACAAAACAAAATCCTTTGCCAATAAGTAGCTCAAGAAAAATTACTTCAATAGTAAAGAAATTTTGCAATCAAACAAGACAACAAGGCTTTCATTCTGTAATATGTAGTTACAAGCTGATGGCCATTACCTCCGTGTATACTGATAATGTCATCGTCCGAGTCTGACTCCAGAATACACACCGAGTCAAAACAAGCTTCCTCTTGGAAAATTACTACAAATGAACAACTTTCAAAATATGAGATTCAAGAGCTATGAATTTTCTTGTCAGCACTATTGGTTGAAATTGAAGGATTTTCTATGTGACTTTATTGGACAGTAACATTAAGCTTCTAGTACTAGAAAGAAATCAATAAAGCAAAAAGGCATTGGTGAGCAATGCCAATGCGCCGCCCTCCACTAACCGACCTCTCCCTGCATGTATGTTGACGACTAATTTATCCTTTCCTTTTCTTTACCCCAACCAAGACCATCGGGAATTATAAATCTCTCATTCCCTCTTCATTTGCCTCCCAATTCTCAGTCTCTCAACAACAGAAACACAGTTTTCTATCTCCTCCTTTCACTCCGCACGAAACAAACCCCTCATTTCTTATGCCTTTCCTTATTTTATGTCACCATTCCTCCTTCTCACACACTATATACATGTCACCTTTGCTCCTTCGCACCAGCAAGCTTCGTCTGTCTTCATTTGGAAATAAAAGGACACGACCTGCCCTAGCCCCTAGACCAGACCCACCCAGGTCGCCGAGGCGCTGCCTAGATCCGCCCAGGCCGCCTAGGCCCTCCCTAACTCTGTGGTGTCGGTGTCCTCTCCCACCTAGTGCTTAGGCCGATTTTTCGAACCCTACTCAAAACCTGGAACGGGCTTGCTCTATGCCCTAGACGTTCGTAGTGATGAGTTCGAGTCCGATTCACTAGAATATTTATAAAAAAAAACCCAGTATAGCCGAACGGCTACACTATTTTTTTTAAAAAAATTACCGCAGAAGTACTATTTTTAAAATAAAATTTTGGAAAAAAACAACCGAGTATAGCCGTTCGGCTATACAATTTTTCAAAAAATATGAACCACCATTCTAAAATTTCTAAGAGAATGGATTCATCTTCATAGGAACCTTTGGATCTACCACATGAAAACCACCTTTGGCTACGATTTTTTCTCTTATTGTTCTTTTTTGTGTAAAATTTGGATTTTATAACTATGGTGCACAAATTATATTAATTTGAGAAAATTTTGATAAATCACATCAACATGTCGTGTGGATATGTACACAAGCAATAAAATAACTTCTCAAGTGAGTCAGTGAATTACTAGAGTATTTTCATGATCACAAATTTATTGATTCGATTTAGCACTCCGGACATAAATTTGTTTTGGTAAGAGTCCATAAACATAATATTTTAAATGTATCGCCGCACGGCTATACCTTTGAAATATCATAATCTGAATTTAACATAAGAGTGATCTAACATATTCTTCCTCTTCTTGCAAACTTCATCAGCCTTCCCTAAGCGAGAAAGCTCATAGCTCTGGGTACTAATAAGCGAAAACCAATATGATTCCCTGCGCTCATCTTTGCCTGTGATTTTATCTGATTTACCTCCATCTATTTTCATATAGCTTTGGAATTCTTCATACTTACACCCATTTCAACAAAGCGAGCAGATCTTTCGTACTGAAGTACTTGGCCACTCTAGATATTCCCAACTGGATTGCTTCAGCAGTAATGATGTTTTACAATCAGACAAGACCACAAGGCTTTCACTCTGTAATATGTTGTTACAGGCTGATGCCCAATACCTTCATGTATACTGATAAAGTCATCATCCGAGTCAAACTCCAGAATACTCACTGATTCAAACCAAGCTTCCTCTTGGAAAATTACTGCAAATGAATAACTTTCAAAATATGAGATTCAAGAGCTATGAATACTCTTGTCAGCACTATTGGTTGAAATAGAAAGATAGTTGAAATCTGATGAAAGAAAACACATACCATTCGAATCATATTGACTGTGGTGCCATTGCAGCTGGTTGACCAGGAAGAAAAAAAAAGTAAAAAAAGAAAAAAGAAGAAGAGGAGCACGTTGGATGAAACACACTCGCGAGAGGAGGAAGCCTGTCAAAAACCTCAATGATGTTAACGTGAATTTTAGAAGGAAAAAAAAACCTCATTTACAGTTTGATGACGTGTCATGTGTTAAGTGGTTATATTGTTTGAGTGATTTAAATTTAACGAAATGCAGGACCTAAATGCAGAGCCTCATGGTCCCATATTACATATATATGTGTTTTACGTATTATCTATTTTAATAGAAGTGCTAGCTTTAAGGAGGTTGGGTTCGAAATCGAATTTAGGATCACAGATACAGAAATAAATGCTCTTAATCTCCTGTCATCTATATAATTGAATAAATGAAACACCATCGCATGATTTGAGAGCAAATTCTACTCCATTTCCCCCATTAGGCCAATAGTACCACCGGCCTCACCTGCATGGTCTCACTAGTCAGCTAAGAAGAACAAAGATTTACGCAGAAGGCAATTGTGGGAAGAAAATATCTGAGTGGGTGAACCAACGGCTTTCAAAATTGGAAATCAAAGCAAATTCAAGCAGTTGGTTTTCTGCTTTTGTGACACCACAACGTGGCCACCCCATAAATCTAGCTCTTGACCCATGTTCTCTCTCCACTGTGTGGGCCCCACTCCCTTTCCCCAACTCTCTTCTTTATTTGTTCTCTCTAGCTAAAACTAGAAGCTTTTCTTTTCTTCATTCAAATTAAATCTTTGATTTGCAATGGCACATTTGAGCAGCAGTGTGATGAAGATGAAGGCCTTGGTCTTTGCCTTTGCCGTGGTGGCTTTCTTTGCTGCTATGTCTTCGGCCCAAGATTTTGATGCTGCGCCCGCTCCCGCGCCGGCTCAAGACAAAGGAGCAGCTCACTCTGTGGTGGCCTCAGGGGCTATGATCCTCTGCCTCCCGTTTTTCGTGTCCATGGTTGCTCTCCTCAACCACTAGATTTTAATTATTATTTCCACCCATTTATTACTTGCTAGTATTAATTCTTTTGGGGTTTTCAAATGAATTTCATGGAAGTGACTCGGTGATTCTTTTATTTTATGCATGTATTTATAATGCGTGTATTTTCCTTTATCATTCTTTCTTGATGTGATACCATATTATAAATACAGACAAGTATTGAAGGTTCTGAAACAAATTGTATTTTTGGGAGAATTTGTAAGCACTGCTTAATACAACTAACACAGTCCCTCCAGGTGATTGTGAGCCATCCGGGTGATTAAATGATTTAGATTTGGTAATTAAATGATTAAATGGTTATTAGGTGATAACAGAGATCGAGAATCAAAAGAACAAACAAACATTCACACACAAATCCAACACCACAGTTTTACGTGGTTCACTCATAATTGAGCTACGTCCACGAGGTTGCTAGGTTTTTCACTAATTGAATAAGAAGATTACAAGTACAAGAGCACTCTAAGTCTGTTCCAATCTGGTTCAGAATAGGAAAAACAAAACAAAACAAAATTTAAATTTAAAAACAAGAAATCAGAACAAAGGAACATTGCTCGACACTGCAGCACAAGATACCACACTTGGGATACTGAAGCTCTCTCAACTGCTGAAGTGCCCAACAAGACTTGAGCATACTTCGAACCACGCTCTTCTCAACTTAATAGAACTAGAATGAAGTTTATGCAAGTGTAGGATACACAGAAAATGATAACGCACGCAAACCAGGCATCAAGGATATAATATGTGAAACAAAAATCACATGCACATCATATAGAATGGAACATTATCTATCTGTTTGTGTATATAAGCCTAAATGTAGTAGCTCAAGGGTCGAGTCAATCTTATGATCAACACCTAGGTGCATTAACAGGGAACATACATTTGAATGATGGCTATTGGCTTTCTTCACTCCATCTGTTTCTTCTTCTCTCCACTGCATATTTATGGAAGTAACTAGATTGAAAGTAAACCAATGTTATTACCATATGAACAATTTTTTTCAGAACTGAATAATTGAAAAATGTTTGTTTGATCCGTGGAAATATAAAACATTTACATATGATGAAGTAGTTACCTATTATTCTTTCGCTAGTTCTTCAGAAGCCTAAAACACTAGGTCATGTTCGTTTCAGTATTTTATTTATGCTCATGAATACAGTTCAAGTGAACTTCAATTCTCCTCATGCACACTGTTCAAGGGAACTTCATTTCTCACACGGGACCTGAAAAGACAAGGAAGAAGGGAGAGTTAGCTGGGAATTGATTTCTTTAAAAAAGGACTAAGAAACAGAGATGTACAAACCCGAAAAATCTGCCCTCTTTGTTTTTGCTTTTCTGTATAAAGGAATAGTATCCAATTTCGAACTCCTTAAGACAGTGAGGCCGCGAATCCATTCGGGCAGTGATGCTGAACTCTGAATTGAAAGCCATCGAAGTTATGTGAGGTTGTCTGTCTCTTCTGGAAGGTAATGCCAAACTAAAGGAATACTCAATTTCCAATTGATAGAGAGTAGAATCTAGTGTCACTGTCTGACATCTTCAATACCAAGATGACAAAGCACTACTCTCTCCACCCAGCCATCTCGGTACACTGCATGTTCAAAAACCAATGATAACTCTCATTTAAGCATTCAAAGAATAAACCCGCACAGGAAATGATAATGCATGCAAAGAAGATGATGCGGTAAATGAGCATCAAAGACCACATTCAACAGAAATAGTATGACATCCTACCAACAATGTACATAACCAAAGAAACGAAGAACACAATTAACTTCATTCCTGGTATATCAATCTGAATTTCATTCATAAATATCAGCCATCATGAAAAAATATAAACTACTTTCACACGACCCCAATTTCATAACCCATAAGGAAATTTGAGAGATAAAATTACCTAAATCCATCACATGTAAATCTCGGTATGAATATGTTTGGCTCTAATAATAGGAATTATTCAATTATGTAACATGGGCATATCAAAACTCGGTATATATGCTAGCAGAAGGCAGCATGATAGAAGTATCAATGTTTTAAATAACGCGCCCTTGGTGCCCTTTGTGGCGGGCCTCTTGGCGAGGCGGTCGGAATTTGCCTTGAGGCGCAGCTAATTATGAGAAAGTCACCGAAAGCAGCGTACGCCTTTCTTCGAGGCTTATGCATCCCCTTAGAGGCGTAAACACGTGGTAGTACGGTACTATTGAAATTGGGTCAGAAATGGGAGAAATTATACAATACACATGGTAGTACGGTACTATTGTATAATTTCTCAAAGTAATCCTCTTTATCCAAAACAAAAAACAAAAACAAAAATTCATGATTTTCCTTTACTAGCACCCAAGTTCTTTTCAAGGTACAGGTCTTTCAAAGACACCAATTTCAAAAGCCATAACGAAATTTGAGAATTACAATTACTTAAATTCATCACTGCATATCCATGAAAGAAAAATAAGAAACAAAACCGAATCACGTGAACATACCAACAACAAAACAATGCTAGGATGAAGGGGTCATCATCTAATACATATATACCACTTTGTTGGTGATCTGCTGTTGCACAATCACAATCAAGCCATAAGAGTTTTTAGTGCACTGACCCAACCCTTAAAGATCATCAAATGGACCTGAAAAAGAAGAAAATGAAAGAGCTGAGGTTGGTTGCCATTTGAATAAAAATGTGAATGCAAAACAAATAAATTAGTTAGAAAAACACACCAAGTTAGGGAAGAATGCGAATGTCTGGGATGTGAGCAATCTTGGACCAGTCCTCACCTGTTTCTTTCTGGCATCTTTGCTTTAAGATGGGGCAATCTACAATTGTCAACCTTTTTAATGAGGCGAGGCAACGAAGCCCTTCTGGTAGTGACGCCAATTTCGAGCAATCCCAAATTTGCAGTTCCTGTAAGGAGCTGAGGCAACAAAGCCCTTCTGGGAGTGATGTCAAATTAGGACAACTTGAAATATGCAGTCTCTGTAAGGAGATGAGGTGACCCATCCCTTGATCTGGTAGTGATACCAAATTAGGGCAATTCTTAATTGAGAGCTTTTGGAGTAATGTGAGGTTGCCGATCCTTTCTTCTATATCCTCAACGCCCCTAATCTCCAAATATTTTAATTTGGAAAGAACAAAGGAGGAGGGAAGGAGCTTCCAGCTGCTTCTCTCTAACTCCAGTCTATCAAGATTTGGGTACAACGGCATGGAAGTTAGGTTAGGACAATTCTGTATCTCTAAAGAAGAAAGACAAGGAAATGAAGAAGCTGAAGCTGAAGCTGTTTCATTCCTCCACCATCCCTTGAGATTAGGGCAATCATCTAGATAAAGACGCTCTAAGGAGGGAAAGAAGGTCGTCGATGGAGAAGCAGCTGACATCATAATCATCTCATCACCGGCAAAGTCCTTAACCTTGTCTTCTGCTGATATGTGCTCCAAATTCCTTAACCCCAAAAGCACAAGACTCTTAAGAAAAGGTAAATGATCCAACGGTGGAAGATGTTGGCATCTATCACAGTCATACAATGTCAGATCAACAATACTTGTGAGAGAATGAAACCAACTCGCAAACCTCGCACCCGGGTATCCCTCCACGCGTAAATGTTTTAGACTTGAATGGGGCTGCAGCGCTTCCATTGACTTAATAATTACATCACTCTCCTCCTCAACCGCATCACTATTTTCTCTTTCGATGCCCATCCAATGTAAAGTCAACGAATGGAGATGTCGTTTCTCCTTCAAAACTGCACCATCATAATTCAATTCTGACACCATATCTTTCTTGTACCTCAAATTTTTGATCCACAAGTCTCCTCTTAAATCATTTAGCTTCCCCAACTCACTGAGCCCTGCACTGTCCCTCAACATGGAATTATTTTCGCTCAAAACAAATATACTCAAAGTGAGAAGACAAGTCAATTCACCCAATCCACGAGGAATCCGAGCCAATTCATAACAATATCTCAAAATGAGATGCCTCAAGTTGATCAATTTCTTAATATCTCTAGGCAATTCCACAAGAAACTCACATCCCGAGAGATCTAGTGTTTCCAAATTTTGAAGTTCGACTATCCAATTTGGAAGTCTCTCAATGAAATTGTCACTAAGATCAAGATATCTTAAATGTTTCATTTTCCTAAGACATTTTGGCAATTTTGTAATTCCCAATCCATTCAAACTCAACATACGCAATGACTTAAAATTTGAAGCAATTGTAGCACAAAATGACTTATGGAATGACTCCTCCCTTGAATAATGTTGGCTTAGGAAAAGAAAAGTCCTTAGCTTATTTGATTCTAGCAAGGTTGTCGGTATTTTCCATTCCGACGAATCAACATCAAAATCGAAAGATATATGAAGAAGACGTTTTGCATCAAAATCAGTCTTATTGCCCCCTATTATTCTGCTTCCCTCCCCTGCCACTTTAACAGCAAGTTCATTCATGAGATCATGCATTTTACAGCTTGTTATTATACCAAACTCATCTTTTTCTTCTTCTTGGAAAAAAGATCTCCAAACTAGTTCGTTATAATATTCATAACCAACATCTTCCAAGCACTCATTAGGATTTGAAGACTTAACGAACCCTTGTGCCACCCAAAGCCTAATTAAAATATCTACGGAAATCTCACAATCAGGCGGGAACAAACTACAAAAAGCAAAACAATGTTTCAAACGTGATGGGAGAACATCATAACTCAGCTGAAGTGTTGGTATAATATCATCTTCTTCTTGACTTATTGTTGAAAGCTTGTTACGCTTGAAAGCCAACCATTCAGTTTCTTGATGTTTCGAGTACAACATCCGTCCTACGGTCCTTATAGCAAGAGGAACCCCCTGACATTTTCTAGTAATCTCCTCCCCAATGGCCTTAATTGTTGAACTCTCTGGCTCTTTTCCCTCTTTGAACGCCATTTTCTTAAATAAAAACCAAGACTGCTCTTCATTCAAGCCCCTTAAGTTATATGGTTCAGCTGTATCTGCTATATTTGCAACTTTTTTACTACGAGTAGTTATTAGTATTTTACTACCTCTTGCACCACCCATCAACAAGTCTTTCAAGTCGTCCCATTTTCCATGATCTTCATTCCACACATCGTCTAACACAAGGAGGTATCTCTTCCCATCGATCTTCTTCCTAAGCTCATTTTGCAACTGATCCATGTCGAACATGTCAGTTTTTAGGATTTTCTTAACGAGTATATCCAACTGAAATGAATTAGAGACACATGTCCACATTTTCGGCTCAAAATGCTTTTGAACCTCTTCATCGTTGAATACGAGTTGGGCAAGTGCAGTTTTTCCCATTCCTCCAAATCCCACAATGGAAATGGTGGACACATTCTCTGTGTTCTTTATAGAGATGGGATCCAAATCCAACAAAAGTTGAATAATTGCTCTTTTATCTTTATCTCTCCCTATTATATTATCCTCGCGGACAAATGAGTGAGTGACCCTCTCTCTTCTTACAAATTCTACATCTTCACGATTCCTTTATAATTGACCAACTGTTGTATTCGAGGCAATCTCATGAAGTCTCTTGTTAAGATCTTTTATCTTATGACCGATTTTCAGCCCAAAAACAAGCTGATTTGAGCTAGAGAAGAAGATGTGTACCTGCTTTGACACTTTATTATTTCCAGGCACCATTTGTCTCCACTGAGCTTCAGTATAAAACTCATCGAGCACGTCATCAGCTTCATAAACTGCATCTTCTACGCTTTGGAGCCACTCTTTGACTGCTTCATTGTTGGCTTGCTTTTGCTCAGCATCAAGAAGAACAGCTCGGAGTTGGGAAACTAGAAGCTTAAGCTTTTGGAGCTCATCGTTGACACACCAAACCAATCCAATCTCTTGGAAAACAAGGGAGCCTAACCTTCCAATGATCCCTTCTGCAACGTTGAAGAGGACTCCTTCGGCCATTGGAGAAAGGAAAAGAGTATTCACTTGGAGAAAGGAAAAGAGTATTCTTGACGAAAGTTGTGGTTTGTTGATAGAGTTGTTTGATGTAGAACAGCAAGTGGAGCAAGAGTATTAATAATTGGACAAAGAAAAGAGGAAACATGCATCAAATCACGTGGGAAAGCTTTGAATATTTGGTGTCGAACAGCAAGTGGAGCAAGTTGAGGAGGAAATGCCGAAATGTCATCTTTGAGTGGTTTTGTCATTATTTTAATGGAGTCCAATTGGTTGGTGTTGTCATTATTTTAATTACAATTATACTTTTCGTCAGACGTTTTACCTTTCTTTGTTTATCGAAAAGAAAGATACACTGAATTAAAAAGCATAGCTGTTTTCTAAAACTTTGTTTATCTTTCTTTTTAATAATTCAGCGTTTTGAAGTTCCTCCATGTAGCCAAATTCCCGACAAATCAAAATATGAAAATTCAATTTTAGTATCCATCTGATACAATTTATAGCAATATTGATACCTCAATAAGTTATAATAATTCATACTAAAATCTCATAAAATTGTGTTTGCTTATTTAAGATGTAAGGAATATAAACAGCCAAAAATATCATTGAAAAAACATTGGTATTTCAAAAGTCCATTTTTCATACTTAGTCAAATTTTGAAAGAAAACAATTTTTCAAGTAGATGTGGAGAGACTTGTTGTGGCACTCCTAATTAGGGATCCCGAGCCTCTGCATTTAGCATTCATGCATTTACACACATTTAAGAGAACTCAACCAGGCCTAGGAAGAGAATTTATGAAATCCAAATCTTTTTGACATAGTATTGCAATTAAATATGCAAATTCACAAATGAAAATTAATTGGGCACAAATACTAGTACTGCATATGAAAATCTTATATGTGCCTGCCAATTACAGAACTTAAAGGTGTATGTGAGGAAAAGGGAGTGAGGGGTGGCTGCCATGGCTAGCAGTTGGGGTAGGAGGCTGGGTCAGGGATAGGATTCCTTTTTATTTTATTTTTTTTTTCAAAGTTATTGAATAAATATAATAAGGTGCAAATGGTTAATTTTTGCTTTAGTACAATTATGACGATGTGGACTTATTAAAGTTCATTAGATTAATCTAATGGTTAACATTCACTTAAATGTGTGTAAATGCACGGATGCTAAATGCAGAGGCTCATGATCCGTTAATTAGAATTCTAATTTTCATTAGACGTTTTAACCAAAGTCAGCCGTTTTCTAAAAATGTGTTTTTCTTTTCAATAATTCAGTATTTCCTTTTTCTTTCTTTTCTTTTGTGGTCGAAAGATGAAATTTCATTACGAAAAACTCACCCAAGAGGATGGTACAAATACAATAATACAAGCAACCCAATAAGATAGCACAAGTCTAATATGCAATATCATATGAATAAAAGCAACAGACTACCTCAGATAATTATATCAATAGATAAACAAAACTAAAAATTGATAAAAACTAACAAAATTACAAACAACACAGCAACAAAAACCACCGAAAAACATAAGCACCACCAAACAGCCACCATAAACCATCAATACTCAAGGCAACCCCAAGGTAAAACAAACAGGACCATCAAGACATAAAGGAGGTGGTGCAAGCACTCGAGCTGTAGTTGAATGTTCTTTATCTACTTTCCGTTTCAACTTAAGTTGATCCCATGTTAAATTTGGTTTCTATTTTTCTAGTATAAGTACATTGCTTTACATTACTAATTACTAATTAATAATTAACTAACTTGTTATGAGCGTACAATTAGCATGTACAGTAAAATAACCTTTGAAGAGTCTCTTTCACTTTCAAGGACTGTTCTCTGGGCCACAACTTTTGAAATTTTTTCCATGCCCTCACGTGGAGGTGGGGATGGGGTCGGCATCATTATGCGACAATGATCTGACCAATGTCATTATTTGACAATGACCTCTTGTAGATGTAACTGTGCAGGAATAACATCCAATCGATGTACTGGGCTGTTTGAAATTTGAATTTAAAGTCCACTTTGAATAAATTGGCTTCATCTTCACATTCATAATCTTGCATCATGCCTTCGCAAAATTTTGGGGCTTTTGAATACTCTGGAAGCTGATGCGTTCTTCACTGCAATAAGATTCCGAAACTTCAAATTTTTAAAATGTAGTGTTTTTTTTTTTTTTTGGGGGGGGAATAACAATCCGTTCTTCTTATTGTGATGTTCTTGTTGTGAATTGAAAATGGATACAGTGTGAAAACATAACAATTTCCAAGATTGTTCTCTGGGGCACAACTTTTGAAAACTATTGTGTCCTCACATGGCGATGGGGACGGGGTCGACTTAGCTTCTGCGCAATTGTCAGTGTACCAAATATCTTATTGGCGTTCTATTCTTCATTGGTTTTTTTTTCTTTCTTGCTTTAGAATTCTTGTGAAAATTCATTGAGTTTGACATTCAGCACCAGAAGAAAGCCGGAAACTCTTTTATATAATGACAGCAGCAAACCACCAACTTTTCATGATAAACAGTAGCAGGAGAACAAAAGAAATTGGATAATACAACTTTTTTGTTTTCAAGTTCATGTTCCACACAGAAGCTACATTCAACTTGAAAAATGAAATTACGAAAAATAAATTCATGATACAACTTTTTTTGATAGATGCACAATCGTGCCTTCATGAATCTCTTACATCATTCATTGGCAGTAAGACTTGCAGAGAGATTTGGCTTTGTCTGCTAGAAACATCCAGAAAGGGACATATTCAATACAAGTGCCAATGTAGAGCCTTGTCAAATTTGCTGGAAGAAGGGTCATGCTACTTTGAACTGCTATGACAGAGGTGATTTGAACAATGCTAAATTTGCTACAATAACAAGAACCACATTAAATTGAATGTATTTAAAATAACTAAATGTCGTACATTTGAAATTGATTCAAAATGACTACATGCGACGAATCATTTGAAATCAATTTATTTTCTTCCTTTCTTTCTTGTCTAGATCTCGGCATACATGAATTACAATAGTCTATACAAACAACTTTGCCTTATAATTTTTTCTAAATCCATTGTTTTGAAGTTCCTCCATGTAGCCAAATTAAGTTGAGAATAAATATTCAAACACTCTGGGGGTAAACGAGATCGAGAATCAAAAGAATAAACAACACAAATCAATCACCACAGTTTTACGTGGTTCACTCATAATTGAGCTACGTCTACAAGGTTGCTAAGAATTTACTAATTGAAGAAGAATACGAGTACAAGAGCACTCTGCTAAAATATGAATATAATTTGAATACTTTAGGTTAAGTTGTATTCTTCTCCATAAGGAGGTATATATATGGGTTTACAAGTGTGCTTTACAAGGAAATAGATACATGAATTAATTAGGAGAATATCTCCTAATTATACAAGGATTGTCAACTAGATGAAGAAAAAAAAAGGAAACGAATCTTCTAATTAACTTAGAAAATAAACCTCCTTGATTTGTTAGGTTAACTCACAGAACACTCCTCCTCAAGTTGGTGCATACACGTCACCAATGCCCAACTGGCAAGTGGTCCATGTCTTCACACAACTTGTGATTCATTGTCGGCAAGCTTACATCCAAGCATTCCTATTTCAGTGAGTAGATCCATCACATACTTCCTTTGTAACATAAAAATACCAGTCTTTGACCTTGCTACTTTAATTTCGAGGAAGTATTTCAGAGGACCTAAATCCTTCATCTCAAATTCTTGAGACAAATACTTATGTATCTTATGTTGCTCTCCTGCATCGTTTCTAGTTACGATCATGTCATCTACATAGACAATTAACGTAATGATTTTTCCTCCATCAAGCTTTAAGAATAGGGTGCATTTAAGGCCCCGTTTGGTTCACTGAATGGATTTGAGGGGAAATCACTTCCCATGTCATTTTTCAAGGGATGAGAAATGAAAGACTCATTTCCCATGTTTGGTAATGGTGGGGAACTAACCGGAAAATATCACTTTATTTCCTTTCCCATGTTTGTTTTGAGTAGGAATGGAAAACAAAGTTTGTATAATTTTCCAATTATGTCCATATTAAATGAAATAAAAAAAGATTGCATTTAATGATATATTGTAATTCTAAATTGTTAATGGGGACAAAAAGGTCATGAAAAATGTGTATTTAATGTTGGCTCATTTTCCCAAACTTTCCCATGAGGAGGGAAAACAAAACCCAAAGGGGGAGGAGGGCTTCACTTTCCCCTTACTTTCCCATGTGCAAGGTAACCATTTCTCATGCCTTACCAAACATGGGAAAAGCAAGTGATTTCCCATCCCCAAGCCTCATTTCCCATGAACTGAATGGGTCATGAGTGTATCAAAACCTCTTCATGCACTTAGTAAATCTTCCAAACCATGCCCTAGGAGACTGTTTTAACCCATATAATG